GCGTCCGTACCATGACGTCGTACAGGTTGTCTGCCACACGGACGTATCCGGCGATCTCGTCGTCTACCCGCCAGATGGAGCGCTCGGCGTTCTTGTACTGCTCCGCCCCGTGCCATTTGGCCGTGGCCAGCCACTGCTCCGTCAGCGTGTAGCCGATGATGACGTCCAGCTGGCCGTTGTAGATCATCACGCGGTAGCCGCCGTCCAGGATGGCGGTGACCATCGGCTTCGTCGAGTTCATCATGTCCTGCAGCAGGTGGTGCAGCACCGCCTGTCCGTCGTTGAAGGGCCGGTCGCCCACGTGAATGGCCTCTCGCGTGGCCGGTAGGTTCAGATACTGGTCATAAGGTACGGCTTCGTACGCGTCCACCGGGTAGAGGTAGTTGTAGTAGTTGTCGAAGCCGGTGACGTTCTTGTAGTAGGTTGGATAAGGGGTAGTGGCGCCGTTCATCATTGCATCCCACGTCTGAAAAAGTATACCACGTTATTGCAGTCCAGACACCCATCACTTTCCATCGGCATATGGTGCCGTGTGGTCGGTGTTACGGGTGTTGATTTAAATCTATTTAAGATGTGCATCATATCATGTCCGATGATCGATCAATGACCGAATATCCCAACAAATAATTGACCTTTGACCAGTACGCAATGACTCGCTCCTTACTTCCCTTAAATATCATCCTGAGCTTACGTGAGGCGGTCACTACCATCGGCAAAGGCTGCCGCCATTAATTGGGGTAATGCCTGCGCCCGAATTGACGCCGGCAGACGCAAAAAATTCATCACGGGTTCGCATGTTCCAGGCTTATAAAAATGCATTTTGTAACCCTGAATCTAAGTTCAAAACTTGGCACGTTTCCTATCGCTTAGAATCTGGGTTTGTCAACTGCCAGCGATACATTTCCTTTCCTCCCTCAAGTGGCACGCAGGGTATAATTCTATATGGCCAATGCAGGCAGCGGCGTGGCCAGAGCTGCGGCGGGGGGCTGTTTCTGTCGCGAGTGAATCCCAGCGCCATTGACAGCAACTGCGCATTCCGCACAGAATAACAGAGCCCACAGGCGTCAGCCGATACGGTACTTAGCGCATCGCCGAGCTGTCTGTGCTGGTCTACCCTGGTGCCTTAGACAACTGCTTCATTTCCGTATCGCACGTATTCATTCGGCAACCCGCTAGCCTCGTTACTAAATTACGACCGCTAGGCTCTGTATGTCGCTGCCCATGGTTGTGTTCATGATATTTAGGACAAAAACAGTTTTCCTGAACACCACATTCCGGACCTATACTCCGTAGTGTCGTGGTAAGAAACTGCGCTAAAAGCCCGACAGGAGAAGAGGGAGGTAAGCCCGATATGCCTTGCTCACCGCTGACTGCATCTCTGAAAACAGAGAAAACAGACTTCATATCATCGTCAGGGTTCATTAATCAGCAGATACTGTGAAGCTCAGTGGAAGACACTCAGCCTCAGCTCACTGTCCGCATTTCGAATGGCGCCGTGGACCCGCGTACTCACGTAGAACGCCTCCAGGAGCTTGCCCTCCTCGATCAGGTTGGCCGTCTCGTCGGCTTGCTGCCGGAAGTACACCAGCTGCTTGTCGTCGATGAAACCGATGTTGTACAGTATATCGCCGTAGTACAGCTGGTTTATGGGGTCGACCAGGCCGTCCCCGATCGCCATGCCTGGCGGCACGGCAGTCTGAGGCGGAGTCTGAGGAGCCTCGGTGACGGAGCAAACCGGCCTTGAGTAGGGAGGCAGAGGAACCTTGGTGACGGAGTCTGAGGAGCCTTGGTGACGGAGCTAACCGGCCTTGAGTAGGGAGGCAGAGGAACCTTGGTGACGGAGTCTGAGGAGCATTGGTGACGGAGCAAACCGGCCTTGGGTAGAGAGGCAGTGGAACCTTGGTGACGGAGTCGGAGGAGCGTTGATGACGGAACAAATGAATCATAATGATGGAGTCAAAGAAGCCTTGATAACGGAGCAAGAGAGTCTCGATGACGGAGCCAGGGGAGCCTCCATGATGGAGTCACATGACCCCCCCCCCCTCTCCCGATGACGGAGTCGGAGGACCCTCGATGACGGAGTCAGACAGATCCGATGGCAGAGTCAGACAAGCCCCGATGACGGAGTCAGAGGGAGACAACGCAGCAGAGACATCCCTCGAAGCGGCGCACCTGAAATGTGCAGCCGACCTCGCTGGCCATTCCATTGTCCATTCATGGTCCCTCCATTGGGTCTGCTGTTGAAACTTCAAAATTGGACTCCTTTTTAACTTACTTTTTCCCTCCCCAAGGTGCATGAGATCACCGCCTGCACAAACGGCGAAACGTGTTAGGAAGCTGAGGCTCGGGTTTCCGCCACATTGGAGGCAAATTGCGGCATAATTCAACTCGTAAACAGAGGACAAGCTTCACCATTTGGTACGTAGGCATGGCCAATAGACGCTGCCTTCCTTATAAATGATGCAAGGTAATACATGAACGGAACTGGCTGTAGGGGACTAAATCAGAGACACGCAATGACAACTGCGATACTCATCTTTCCCACATAACGTTTGAAATGTTCGGCAAACGAAGTACTGCGCTTTGCGACATACCTTTGAGGTTTATTTTCAGAGCGGCAGTCGGGTTCTCCATGTGGATCTTTGTAAGCGGTTGCGGGGACGTACTTGCCTGAAACCGTAGCAGTGCGCCAATTCACGGCACAGAGCCTGCATTTTGGCTTTATTCAGCGTGAGCATTGCGATAATACTTCCAATGACAACATGATTAGTGCAAAATACATGCAGTAGGAACATACGACTACCCGTGCGAGCGTACGCCCAGACTAGTTTCATACAGACACGGCGTCACGTGACGCGAGGACAAATACGCTAAAACGTGAAAGTTGCCTGTCTTTTGGTATCCGCCTGCATCCCATTGTCTTTATCGGACAGAAAAGCGCATTTTTACATGTGTGGCCGCAACCGGGGTTGTATTCCACCTACAGCCATTGCTGCTATTTCATGAAGCCGCCCAGACCCCTCTGCCGCACGTGCGGTGCACCGCTCCGCCTGAGCAGTGCGGCGGAGTGTCCTGTGCTAGAAGACTCGCAACCCATTTTTCATGTGTCCGTATGATATCATAATTCAGAAATAGTTTGGGCATGAAGGGCTAGAGGGGAAGTACTCAAGTGCTGCATTGACCCACAACAATACATTTTTAAACCGTCCATTGGCCACGCAGTTACTGGCGCGTTGCATTAAAAGATTCTGGGGTGGGGCACGAGGTGTCATGGGTCCAGTACCGCCGTATGATTCCCCTGTGACGTAGAAGTCGTTGGACTGGTAACTCTCGAAAAGGGTGAAGAACTGGGTGAGTGCTGAATGGAGGTCTCTGCCGACATCTTCCTCATTTGTGGCGTAGCCTGCGTCATCCTCGGTAAAGCTGAACCCTGGAAAATTGTGTTTGGTCGGTTGCCGGTCACCATGACAACGAATCGGTCCCAGGTGAGAGAGCTGGAAGTGGGAAATTACAGAAATTATGTAGGTTGCGTGCTCACTGTGGTTTGCGAGGAATTTTCTGGAGTAAGTTCTGAAAAGCCACGGGGACCTAAAGGATCCGCAAGAACGTGCTCACCCCACACTCCACCCAAGTTTAGTAAGCGTGTCATCGAACGCCGACGAACTATTATGAATATGGCGGTGTGCTCCCTGATGATGATAACTGTAGGCGTATGCGATGCTTTTGGTATGCTTTTCATAGAATAATGCTGTTTCGGAACGCATCTCGGAAAAGGTTCATGGATTCTATCCAATTGCCAACATTGCGAATGCCACCATGATATACTTTCACTGAAAAAATGCGTTCAGCGGCAAACAGAAAAAAGATTGTTCTGCAATCCCACCAATACCTCACTTGCGTTAACCGCCGGCATGCCACAAAACTGAACACCTTGTATGGCGGTTCCAGCGCGCTCTCGCACACCTGACACCCAGATGCATACCAGTGCCGACAGGATTGTCAATATAGAGCATGTTGTGCGTGTTGACCCAGGTGAGGTCGCGAGGCACCAGCTTCAGGTCATTGTCCAAACTGAATGGACCATGCTCGACCAACAGCCCGAACATGCTGCTGCCGCCGGGACCACCCTGAAGCCACAGCACGACGGGCGCCTCTGCCGGGTTCTCCTGGGGTCAGAGTCGGCGTGAGCCGGCGGGCACGGGACAGCTCAAAGGGGTCATGGACATGTCGGCCCTGGCCTGTTCAACGACCTCTCTGAGACGGATGGTCAAGCAAATGCTTGGTATGTATGAAAAAAGCTGTGCAATTTTGCAACACGACTGATGTAGAAAGCATTTGCAAGTTCTGGCCGATATGTTGAAAGGTTTAAAAATCCTAAATGCATGCCCCTTTCAGAGAACCAAACACCAATGGGTGAAAGGTGATCAATGTGTAGCCCGTATTTGTTGTGCAGTTGGTGCATTCGGTACGTTCAGCCTAGGCACAGCTGTTACAGTTGGTTGCTGCTGATCGATACCATTTTTCGCCTGCGCTGTTCAACATAAAATTGCTTACCTTTGCAGGGAAAAACCAGAAGAACATGTTGGAATTGTACTCTTCATTGACCGTAAGGTAGCCAGCATAGCTCTCAACATCTGTCCCGGCCAAACCTCGCACCTGCGGTCAGCGCATTCGGGGATGCTATCACGTGTTCACCACGTTTAATGCCATGAGTTAGCATTCGGTCCATAAGTAGGCTTTAAGCTATCTGAATCTGTTGTCATGGTCAGAGCTGTAACATATGTGCAAAAGGTATCTCGTTACCCAGGAATCAGGCTGACCAAAAAGTCGTTTTCGAGTCAAACTTGTAAGAAATTGCTGCTCCTGTCTTATCTTAGTATATATATATATATATATATATATATATATATATATACATATATACACATATCATTATATTATTTTATATCTTATATCCATTGTTATATGTATATATATATATATATGCTACTTTTATTGTTATATTTTATTCTTCTTCTTCATCAGTCGTTTTCCATATCCAGCTCAATCAGGGGCCGAACTACCGCTAAGCGTTTCAGAAGTTGCGCCTAACACAGCTTAACCATAGCATAATTGATTTTGGATCTAATTTTGTTAATCGGGGTTGTGCCCAACGTCACCAGGGGCATAGCTAGGGCGAAAAGAGGGGTTAAAATGGTCGAAATTGTGTGACGACCTCTTTTATGTGCTTAGCGTTGCATTTTCACTTTCCGACCGAAACAAGGCAGTCATTTAGCCGCTTACCTTGCTGAGGTTTCTTCCTTTCTCCAGCTCGCCGGCCTGGATGTAAGGCGTCAGGAAGAGGGCCTCATCGGTTCGTGCCGCCACCCCCCACCGGGTCTTCTCCGCGAATTGGCGGCCGAGGGGGGGGCGGCGAAGTCCCTCGGCGGCGACGACCAGCACCAGCACGGCAGCCACTAGCATCCTGACCAGCTGCCGCAGGCGTCTGCACCTTGCCCTGCGCGAAACAGTGTCAGCCACTGCCGCCATCTACGCACGCCGCGCCACCGTGAGCGCCGTTCGAGAAGGCTGGCTCATGCGCTGTGTGAGAACGCGTGCAGTATGGGCTGTGGCGTGCGCCAGGCTTGCACCGGACTCGCCACTGGCAGCCAGCGAAAGGTCACGACAATCCGAAGACGGACGATTCAATGGCACTTCTGGTGAATGACACTGATTTATTCAATGACACTTGACACTGATTCAATTTGACACACTTGACACTGATACTAGATACTCACGACATGACACTCACTGACTCAATTTGGCACACTTGACACACTTGACACTGGTTAATGAAACCGATTCTGATTCAGCGACACTTCTGATGCCGACGCGTGTCAGCAGCATGTTGTGATCTCCGTGAATTGTGCATGACACAATTTGCGTAGTATTACGTAATTATTTATCACGTAATTATATCGCGAAGTAGGGCAATACTAAAAATGACGATCAAAATTGCAGTGCTGCTTACACATCGCCAAAAAGCGATAGTGAACCATCCCATCTGACCGAATTCTGTTCACGTCAGACATTGGCGCTCGATATCTCGTATCCTCACGGGCCCATCCGCGCGGAGGATATCTCCATGTCCATCCGCACGGAAGATATTTCCATGTCTGTCCGCATGGAAGATATCTCCATGCCTGTCCGCACGGAAGTCCGCCATACTTTAGCTCACCGTTACAGCACTGTCGTCACCAAGTCAACCTTGGGGGGCCTCTGCCAGGCGCGGGATAGCGCCCTTGTCAGCCGGCACCCCTTTATATACACAGCGTGGCGCCGTAACCGCATGACCGGCACCAGATGTGCCGCGCTCGGACGCGCGCACAACAGTGGCGAGACACCGGCTGTTGGCGGCACACGCTCTGTCCGCGGAGATATCGCGTGCACGGCGGCAGAGAATAGCAGCACAGTCAGTGATGTGTGCTGTTTGGACCGTGCTTCACACCCAACTCATGGCAACTGATAACTGACTGCTGGCTTTGTCTCCGCATTGAATGCTATATCCGCAATTGTGCACCTTCGGTGTGTCGCTGAAAAGTGGCTCATACAGGCATCGGTGGGTTTGTGCAATGTGTTTGAAAAAGCCTTGAATTTCCGGATGTATTCATTGCTAACAGAAAAATGCAAACAAGATTTTAATGAGGTGTAAAGCTGTTCATTCATATTCCATTTTAAAAAGCATTAAGTATTGCAAAGAGAGAAACACTTTCGCATGCAGCTTCATATGATTTTTTCATTAAGCTGTATGTTTTTGTCTTCTTAAAGCTATCTTCACATATTGCAGATGTCCGCAAGATTGCCTGCATTCGTTTTTCTCAAGCTTGCCTTACTGGTCTACGCTTCTCGAGGTATTTTCCTGTGGAGTGATGAGATAAGAGACAAACAAATCGGAGGAGACGCGCAGCAACCCGTTGCGTGGCAAATACAGTTAGAGGACACAACAACAAAGAAATCACGACAGGCAAGATAGCGACACTAGGTTTTAAGTTCTAAAACAATATGCATCCAAACAACTGTCCACACAGCACCGTGTGTGTCAACACTCTCCTTCAAGTTGACTATGAGACTACAAATAAGCTTAACACATGTGGATCACATGAAGCTCGGTATTTTCAATATTTTCATAAAGAGAGGTTGTTTGTTCAGGGAAACATCGATAAAATCTTCAAAAACAAAGGCGACGAGCAGACGGGGCTACAGATCGGTACTAGTCGTAGGAACATACGACTACCCGTGCGAGCGTACGCCCAGACTAGTTTCATATAAATACGGCGTCACGCGACACGAAGACAAATACGCTAAAACGTGAAAGTTGCCTGTCTTTCGGTATCCGCCTGCATCCCATTGTCTTTATCGGACAGAAAAGCGTATTTTTGCATATGTGGCCGCAACCTGGGTTGTATTCCACCTACAGCCATTGCTGTTATTTCATGGAGCCGCCCAGACCCCTGTACCGCACGTGCGGTGCAGCGCTCCGCTAAGGAGTGAGGCGGAGAGTCCTGTGCGATGCATTTGGCATGTTTTTTATAGGATAATGCTGTTTGGAACGCATCTCGGAAGCTTTCATGGATTCTATCCAACATCCAGCATTGCGAATGTCATCATGATAAACCTTCACTGAGCAATACGTTCAGCGACAAACAGAAAAAATTGTTCTGAAATCCCATCAATACCTCACTTGCGTTAACCGCCAGCATCCGACAAAATTGAACACCTTGTATGACGGCTCCAGCGCGCCCTTGCACACCAGACACCCAGATGCATACCAGTGCCGACAGGGTTGTCAATATAGAGCATGTTGTGCGTGTTGACCCAGGTGAGGTCGTGAGGCAACAGCTTCAGGTCATGGTCCACGTTGAATGGGCCATGCTCGACGAACAGCCCAAACATGCTGCTGCCGCCGGGACCACCCTGAAGCCACAGCACGACGGGCGCCTCTGCCGGGTTCTCCTGTGGTCAGAGTCGGCGTGAGCCGGCGGGCACGGGACAGCTCAAACCGGTCATGGACATGTCGGCCCTGGCCTGTTCAACGACCTCTCTGAGACGGATGGTCAAGCAAATGCATGGTATGCATGAAAAAAGCTGTGAAATTTTGCAACACGACTGATGTAGAAAGCATTTGCCAGTTCTGTCCGATACGTTGGAAGGTTTAAAAATTCTAACTGCGGGTTGTACATTGATCACCTTGCACCCAGTGGTGTTTGGTTTCGTTGAAAGCGGCACGCATTTAGGATTGTTAAGCCTTCCAACTCAGTCCGATGCAAGCCTGGCGCCCACCACAGCCCATACTGCACACGTTCTCACACAGCGCATGAGCTAGCCTTCTCGAACGGCGCTCACGGTGGCGCGGCGTGCGTAGATGGCGGAAGTGGCTGACACTGTTTCGCGCAGGGCAGTGTGCAGACGCCTGCGGCAGCTGGTCAGGATGCTGGTGGCTGCCGTGCTGGTGCTGGTCGTCGCCGCCGAGGGACTTCGCCCCCCCTCGGCCGCCAATTCGCGGAGAAGACCCGGTGGGGGGTGGCGGCACGAACCGATGAGGCCCTCTTCCTGACGCCTTACATCCAGGCCGGCGAGCTGGAGAAAGGAAGAAACCTCAGCAAGGTAAGCGGCTAAATGACTGCCTTGGTTCGGTCGGAAAGTGACAGTGCAACGCTAACCACATAAAAGTGGTCGTCACATAATTTGGGCCATTTAAACCCCTCTCTTCCCCTAGCTGCGCCCCTTTTGATGTTGGGCAAAACCCCCGATTAACAAAATTGGATCCAAAATCATGTACGCTCTGGTTAGGCTGTGTTAGGTGCAATGTCTGAAACACTTAGCGGTATTCGGCCCGTGATTAAGATGGATGTGCAAAACAGACAGCAAATAAGAATAATAAAATATATCACTCAAAATAACATTATATTAAATATGTAATACTAATATATATAATATTCATAATAATAAAACAAATGATATGTGATAAAGTTATTTGCCAGGAGAGAAAGACAGCGGTAGCAGCATAAATGTGTCGATTTGGTTGGGATCTTAGAATACCTGAGTGTAACGTTTCGCTTGTCAAGATCTCGTGCCCTTTCCCTTGTTCAAGGACGGACTCAAACGGTTTGCGGTAACGTCCTAACACGCTGTTTTACAACTGAGTGTGAGTGTTAGGACTTTTTGTGTTTGTGTTTTGAGGGATTGAGTGATAATGTCCTCCGTGGAAATCGATCGACCGTTTCCAAAACTGTCTGATGTCATTATTGATTCAAAGATGAAAAGACTCCGATAAAACGTGGCATTTACTCCCATTAAATCATGAACATTAGAAACATGGGCGCATGTGTGTTCTGTTTTCCGCCATAACGGTAAGGAATAAATCACTGCCAAAAAGAAAGTGTCACCATTGCCAGTATTCCCCTATTGGGTACGTCCTCAAACCAAAGGTTGTATGATCATCAAAGCGTAGAAAACATCGCGATAAAAAGAAGCGTTTCAATTCTGCTTATCATTTATCAAATCATATATGTATGTATATATATATATATATACTATATATATATATATGCATATGTACACATATACATATACAAAGAAAAGACAACAGAGCAGCAATTTTTTACAAGTTTGACTTGAAAACTATTTTTTGGTCGGTCTGATTCATGGGAAACGACATAGCTTTTGCACATATGCTACAGCTCAAACCATGACAACAGATTCAGATAGCTTAAAGCCTACCTATAGACCGAATGTTAACTCATGGCACTAAACGTGGTGAACGTGTGACAGCATCCCCGAATGCACTGACCTCAGATGCGAGGTTTGGCCGGGACAGATGTTGAGAGCTATATTGGCTACCTCACGGTCAATGAAGAGTACAACTCCGACATGTTCTTCTGGTTTTTCCCTGCAAAGGTAAGCAATCTTATGTTGAGCAGAGCAGGCGTAAAATGGCATCGATCAACGACAAACAACTGTAACAGCTGTGCCTAGGCTGAACGTGCCGAAAGCACAGCAAATGCGGGCTATTGGCACTGGTATATGTGGGCCATTGATCACCTTTCATCCAGTGGTGTTTGGTTTCCTTGAAAGGGGCACGCATTTAGGATTTTTAAGCCTTTCAACGTATCGGCCAAAATGCGTGCCCCTTTCAACGAAACCAAACACTACTGGGTAAAGGTGATCAATGTATAACCCGCAGTTAGGATTTTTAAGCCCTCCAACGTATCGACCAAAACTTGCAAATGCTTTCTACATCAGTCGTGTTGCAAAATTGCACAGCTTTTTTCATACATACCATGCATTTGCTTGACCATGCGTATCAGAGAGGTCGTTGAACAGGCCAGGGCCGACGTGTCCATGACCCCTTTGAGCTGTCCCGTGCCCGCCGGCTCACGCCGACTCTGACCCCAGGAGAACCCGGCAGAGGCGCCCGTCGTGCT